CTAAAATGTTCATAGCAATTTATCATTAAGAATTAGACAGAATCCCATTTGTAATAAGTACGCTAGACAACCAACAATACTATGTACATCATACGTAGATCATAAGAATTTGTTTGTTCTGTTTCGCCTTAATTTTGTTTATTTTTACAGTTTGAACCTAATATTTTTAAAACTAAACTTGACCCTCCTCAAAAATATTTAAATATTTGTGTCCTACATTATTACATTTACATCGTAGTACAAATTTTAAGGTTTTTAGTTCAAAGTGTTAAATTATGTTCTAAATGGTTTTTTGTTTCTTTAACATTATTCTACAGAAAAATAAGGTAAACAAAATGTAACAAAACATCAACGACACTCAGTTGAGACTTTGGCGACCAAAATTTATTGCAGATCACAACATATTGAGGTTTATAAAATTAGCATAAATAGAAAAACCGCCAAATTTGTTCTAATTTTTGAATTCAAGCTATTCAATTTTTTGTTGACCTTAAGCTTTTGGTAAATTCAAAAAATTACTTGTAATACGTGTGATTATTGCAGTACATTTAAGAACAATAAACTGCAATATCTGATTATAATCTTTGCTTTAGCGACGGCCCTCATTATCTCATGATTATAAGATTACCTACTAGATATTTAGACAGATCCAGTAAAACTACGTGATTATCGCATGATAAAATGCTATAAATACCCAAAAAATGTCTGTAAATTAACAGTCGGCGGAGATAAAAAGAAATCAAGTAAAAACCAGACGGTACTAATTTTTGTAGGTTTTTGTGTGGTATTTATTCTGTGTCGTAACAAGAAATATCCGTTCTATGTTGGAGTACATATAGAACTTTTAATGTTGATGTTTACAATTACCACACTCGTGTGGTTAAGAGCAAAAGCGACATCTACCGTAACCAATAGGAAAGTGGTGTCGAAATCGCCGGCTTGCGAGAAGCGCCACCTGTTGCTGAATCGTTTTATCTACAACATTGCTAACGTCGGACAGATGGCGCTTGATGACATACCAAATCTAATATTAGTGCTCTCGAATAGATGGCGCTGACATGGAATTATATTTACAGTATACTTGACGCTTCGATTAGCTCCGTAGCGTTAATAGTAATAGATGGCGCCGTGTCGCTTTTAGCTCAAAACAATTTCGTAAGTTTCGTCAAATATATTAGGATGGCGCTTGTGTCGCAACGTTCTGCATTAGAAATACAGTTGCATTTTCAGTGATAGTAAAATAATCTTTTCCCATTATTATTTTCACGCATCGTTAGAGTGGATTTTTATGTTTATTAGTCACCCATCTAAATAATTCTTGACACGTGTTTATCGCATTCACGTGAAACGTTGTCATTTTGGTTAAAATGTACAATTATATTAACCGATTGCTCCGTTGTCTACAATACGACGTTAAAACATTGTAGGGGTCAAGAACAAAACAAAAGATCAATTGCTCATGCAAGTGATATATATTATTTAATAATTAGTTTGAAAGTGTTTGCCATGAAACCATAGCAACAGACACTTATGCAATTAAAAATTACCATTATTTTTTAGTGATAATATATTACTTAGATTAGTTCTGATCTCGCTTATTAGTGTTAGATTAAACTTCGATGATATTTTCGAAATTCTCTGTGTAAATGACCCGGAAGTGGAAGATTTAAATTCCTGGTTAATTGCGATGGGATTATTAGATTAACTAAAAACTAATTTCAAAACACTGCCCAAAAACAAGTTTTCAACCCGTGGATAAAAGTGAATGAATCTAGATGGTATTTGTAAAATTACTCGTGGCCCACTCTTGGCTATTAGCATAAATAAAATAAAGGAACCAGTTTGGACCTTTCGTATTTAATAATTTGATTTAATTACAACCTTCCAGTTTTAATTAAGATTTATAAATTTTATTACTGTTTGAGAGGCGTTAAATTATGTAGATAGACATCAGCTCCGAGATGCATGTACATTTCCAATTAATGGAAAGTGTTCGCAGGCCACATGTGTGATCCTTCTATTACTTCCATGTATAATGAGATGTTACATAATTCACTTTCATTGTAATGATAACGTGATCTTTGATACGCGGTCGCATGATTTTATTAACTACGAACAAATGTAGCCAGCTACAAACACAACAGTGGTTTAACCTAAATTAAATTCAGACACGGTTGTCTTAACAGTTTTTTTTATAATTCGCAAATGCAAATTCGACCATAACGGCGCCCAGGATCACTGTAAATGGTGTACAAGAATTGTCAAGTCATATGTTACACCTTTAAACCAGTTCTACAATTTACATAGATGTTCAGGATAATTTCATATTCAAATCGATCTAATTGAGATCCGCTTTGCCATTAAAATCGGCTCAAAGTTCAGTTAATTACGAAGTAAGCACAACTTCGTTTTCGATTAATTTATATTAACTACACACCCAAATTTATTATAAATATGACTTCCAGCTCACCACTAAAATGGACTGAAGTTTAATTATCTACAAGACGCGAATCAGCCTTGGAGAACTAATAAACCTTGTTAAGTCATGTATCAGAAAGTCCGTTAAGATACATTTTGTAAAATTATAAGTACTATTTTTATAATTTAATATTAACGGTATAATCAATATTCAAGCAGTCAGTGAAGGCCATTTTTAGTTACACACATGACACATGGTAACAAGGAACTGGATTTTTGAACCACACGAAGTACCGAGAAAGTGAAAACCGTTAAACCACAGGAAACTGATTAAAAATTGTGGTTATCTCCTGGAAGTCAGCAATCTTCACGTGATTTGTTGAGTGGAAGCGTTTTAGGAGAATCAGAAACTTCAGATTGTATCAGTTTTAGTTAAAGCGACGTCAGCATATGATTTAATTCACCTTTCATTTCGTCCAGATGTGGATAGTCCCAATTCTTGTTCAGTAAATCGTAAATCTTACTTGAGATATGCAGCGTGACCATGATTTAACATTTTAATTTTACTTGTAATTACTTATCTTTAAAGAGTTTATAATTAAACTATACAATTTGTCTAAAAACCTGTGTACATAATCGACTTAGTTCAGATTTTGGTACCAGACCAACATTGATTTAGTGACGAGACAAAATTAACTACAAATTCGTCTTCGATAGACAGTTAATAGCGTTGCCACAAAAATGTATTAAATAAATATTTTACTTTTTACAACTGGTAACACAGGTATTCTAAACATAAAAACGTGGACTTAAAATTCTGGCAAAACAGACAGCATGATTAGTCTTACGTCGTTATTACCAGTATTAATATACTCACTTATTCCAGTTAAAAACTTCATGACGACACCTTGAATAGTTATTACATAAAGCTGTATTGCAAAATAAATCCTGACGCGTATGCAGCATTGGTTATGCTTCAGAAGCCAGGGAAGTACGTGTTAATTAATTTTCAGGTTTTAGAGTGAACTTCTGGAAAGTTTGCTTTTCACGCCTTTCTTTTGAAATTAAGAAGACTTTGAGTTGATTCTTCTTCAAATAAGTGTGTTTGTTGCGGTTATATTCTCAGGTATTATCGTTGTTTATACGATTGTCTTAAAACTAACACACAGTTTAAAATTGGCTTGTTGACAGATTAACATTACAACGCAAAATTTCAGCACCAAACAGTGAAGGTTGCCGCAGATTTATTTATGACTTTTTAAACAACGTTTTATTATTAAAGGATTCATTGCTTCGAATAATTTATCATTCAAAAAGCGGCCCGACTAATTAATTACACAATTTGCATTTGTTTCTGCAATAATAAGCACGACTAATAAGTGTATTAATGGAACACTTCGTTATAAACAATTTTCATTGAAATAATGCTGAGAATATAAGTAGCCACATGGACTAATTACTTATGTGTTATACACGTGCGGCATGATTATGATGAAACTCATTAGTTGAAGTAATTTTGAAAATAAGTCGAATTGTGATTTCGACTAGTTGCGCAATTGGCAATGTAACAATAAGTAAAAATTGCTCTGCTGGATTCTATTATTACTTAGATAATTCGTAAAATCTCTTCAAGTACATTGAGTTAAACCCCATGCAAACATTAAAAGTGGCCTCGTTACAACGCTATTACAATAACAAATAAAAGTTTTTATTATTAAATTTGATGATGAACTGGGATTTTTTCAGCCCATTGTTATTGTTTTGGATGTAGGTCTTCGGTATTGTTGTCTGTGATCATGAAAGGAGATTAAAATTATTTATTTTTTTATTTGTTCGGTAATCCAGGAAATTTGCTTGTTTCGTTTGTAGTATTATTTGCGCTAATCCGTCGATAGGCGATACAATCACACTGTAAGTGCTGATCCTTATCAACACATCTCAGCTAATACTGGACTTAACTTAACGGTTTTGTCCAAAGGAGTGGGCTTACAAATAAAGAAAAATTTTCGAACGTTCATTGCACTCCGTTCCAATCGAAAGAACTTGTTTTGCGATGTTAATAAAAATGTATTTTGTGGAAACGAAAAAGCGTCAATTGTGTTTTGTTTTGTTTCTTCGATTAAAAATAGCCCCGCAAGCTTGAGAATTACGTCGTATTCAGACTTGAGTATGTCGCATATACATCTTGGACTGTGTCCACATTTTATATGAGCACATCCACAGTGATTTTGTGACGTAGTTGGAAAAAAAGGAGTGTTTTTCATCCTTCATAAACAACGTCAGATCGAAAACGAAAGCTGTTTTATAATTATTTTAATAGGGCTATTTTACGTACTTAGTCTCTAAAACGAGCAAAAATAAATTACTGAATTTGCAAATTATGTAGTCGACCTACATCAATTAAAAAAATGCAATAAACAAGCTTAAAGTGGCAATTTTATGCTTTTTTTTAATTTCTTTATTGCACCGTAAGACTTTTAATTGCATGTCCTGCATGTGCAAAGGAGGAAGTTTTCCAAATATCGTGCATGACCTACACTTCTATAACACGACCGTTTTATGTAATTTGTTTTATTTTCCAGATTCGGAGCTATCCAATCTGTCACATTTGGGTAAGTTGGCAAAGAAAACCGAATTAAGGGTTGCTTGAGCTTTGCACTGGTGGTATTTTGATACGGGTTAATGATTTCTGCTTAGGGGTGCTTTTGCAAGGTGGAGAAATGTGGTATTTTTATAAAAATATACACACAACAATGAACAGTGAAGAAGTAATCAAAAGATAGCGAGAGAGGCTGTTGGTCATTTGCGCGCCACGGTTAGTTTACCCCATCGAACAGGTCTAATGGTAAGTACAGCAGTACAGGGATAAAAAGATCAACGGATCTACCTGCAGATGTTTCTGACTATGGCGCGCAACTGACCCCCGACCACGAGAAATATGCCTATATTTAAAATATTAGGTATCAGAAAACAGAATTACACAACCCTTATCTTTCAGACTTTGCTTATCTTCGAAAATGTTCAAGGTAATTAAAAAATCGAACATTAGTGTGTTCGTCATACCACTAAAGGAATCCTAATGTTCTGGCTCCTGGATTAAATGATGCAATTCTTGAAGTAATTGACCCATTGAGTTCAAATCTATTTGTTAAATTTCTGTATTACATCAGGTTATTGAAATATTGCTATTTGAATATACGAACACAGTTGCAAGTGTAAAGTCTGGAAAAAAATTCTCTCAATTCGTGTTGTAGATTTTTAACAAAAATTCTGAGGTCAATTTTTATTTTTAACTCACTAACTCAAGCCTGTCAAAATTAATCAGATGCTAAAAAAACAAAAATATTAAAACATTTTTTGAAAAACTCGTATTTTTTTTGCCTTGCTTATTTCGAAAGTATAACGTGGTAGAGATATTCTGTTGGTAATTAGATTTGGATTTAACCCATCCAGATCTATAAAACATATCGATAGTTTTCTTTGAAACATTTTTGTTGTAGGCCAGTGTCCTTAATGATGTCCCTCTTAGCATAAATTGTAATATGACAAATGATTTTAAAATAATTGCGTTAATTTTCTAGGGCCGAATTTTGATTTGCCATATTGTTTAATACTATATTGCATTTTTATATACTTACTCTAAGATACAAGGAAACTGCAAATTCTTATATGTAGTAAATCTTTTTCCTTAATATATTTTTGTATATAAAATATACACTAAAATAAAATTTTGAACTGCCTAGAAATTTTTGAAATTCAGAAATTATGTAGGTCGAAAATCTGTTCTGAGTTCCAAAAACGCAGTCAGTCTAAATCTTTAAACCTAAATTAATTTGAGTTAATTTTTTTCTTAGAATATGTTACTTCCAGCATTTTCTGGGGTTTTAAATTCCCAAACTGCAAGTCTAAAATTTCTGTAGTTAAACCTTCTACCCGCCAGCTCCGAATATTTTAAGTATCAATAACACACTCGCGTTTGCCTACATTATTTCAAATTCCGACAACAAGCCAGTTTGGGTTCGTTTCAATGTTTTCGTAGGTGGCCAGAATCTGTGAAAATGTTAATTCGAACTTTTTACGTGGCGGCCGGTGTGCCTGAGAAGATTGTTAAAAACGTGGAAGAAACAACGGAAGTTAATTCAAAAACATCAATGCGTAGGTTTTAAGTGGACAAACTGCTAAAAGAAAATGGAACAAAATTAAGACAGTGAAAGAGCTCCTTCGACCTACTTACGAGCTGCTGGACTTAACCTTCTTCAGAGTTGAAACTTGGTTCCACCTATATGGATATGTAAATTTACAAAGCCTTCGAATATTGAGCGCTGAAAATCCCCATCACTTCGGGGAAACCCCTTAATATCTAAGTAAAGTAGGAGTGTGAATCATAGTCTCTCGCAGACATACAATTTGTGCAGTTTTCTTCCATGAACCTTTAATGCTACGCGATATAGAGAAAAAAAAATTGATATATTTATCAAACAACTGGTGAATACTTTCAAAAAGATATAGTGGCACCCCGTATTGCACATACAACATTAGGTTACATACTACAATTTTTTGATGACAGAGAGTAGTAACTAGCGATATTCAATGGCGAGCTCGTTCACCAGATCGTACTCCTCTCGATTGCTCTCTATGTGATATCTGAAGAACTGAGTTTTTAATCAGAGAATAGACAATAAAAAGAAAATAAATAGAATATGTTTACAGCAAAACGGACAATATGTCCAGATGTTGATTCTGATAAGGTGTTTAAGTTTAATGCTTTATACAACGTCAAAAATATCTTACTATAAAGAGTTAAATGTCAATCAAATACCTCATTTACTTTATGCAACGTTGAATATTACGGAAATTGGGGTATTTTAATTTTATAAACACCCAGTTAGAAGTTGTAAATATGAACAGAACTCCTGTTTGTTCAACAAACGTCGAAATATACATTTAAATTCATGTTATAATTTTAAAACTTGAAGATACGATTACTTTATCGTATGCTTGTGTTATAGTGTGTTAAAAAAAATAGATCAACAACTTAATTGTATGACTTACTTAAAGGAAAGGCGATCGTAAATGTAAATTTATGGTGCATAAATAAGTTCACTATTCGTATTCACAAAATAAAAAAGATACAAACATACTTTGAACACAGCGTTAGAATTCTCAAATAAAAATGGAATTCAGTGCGTAAAATCGAAAGTTTGTTAGAAAAGTTGCTGTTTCATTTTTGTAATTAATATGGTTTAAGTTTAATTTATGTGGTTATTAATATTGTTAGCACAGGCCTGTTGTCCCTGCTTTCATTATTTAGCCTGGTTTCAAAAACTTTTCTATTATATTTATAAAATGTAAACATAACTACTTTGGTAGCCCTGGAAAGCGGCTAAGCTGAAGCTTTGCCTTTTGTGGAAACAGTTTAAGGCTTCTTTTTATCTACTGTGTGGTTTTTCTTTTAGTCGTGAAAGAAAAACGACTCCTAATTAAGATTATTATTGCTATGCGTTTTGAATAATATGTGCTCCAAATAAATGGCACCTGCGGTGTAGATAACCAGTAATTCAGACCTTTTAAAACGCGTCAAAAGTAGAAACATTTAAAATCATCATCAATTTATATAGAAAATAGGGAGCCACAAAGTTCCAGCACGTCGATAAAGTGGTGCCCAAGAATTTGGTGAGAAATTGTGTATTGAAGTGTAACTGTTTCACATATATTTAGGATCAAAATTACCTCCCACAGTTTTACAATATTCTTACAATCAATTTCTATAATTTTAAAGGTCTGCTAGTTTCCAAGTAACAAATTTCACATTGCATAGATACTAAATGACATTTAACATATTTAAGAAGTGGAACGGGTCCAATGCAGAGATTTGCAAAGCTGTTTTTAAAATGATTTAATTATTTAATTAAACTGCATGCAACTCAAGTGTCGACACTGTTATAATAATTATCACAAGAATAAGAAAAAATTGGTAATATCCGGACCATCTACGTATGCATATCTATCGAAAAGTTGCAGTTCTCCCGGGAAATGAATTCTTGCCTTGTGGTTTAAATAATGACCATCCTTGGCCGCGGACAGAGCGCTGATAAAGTGCCCAAGAAACAGTTCCGCGAGTTCTTTGGCACCCATTAACGTTTGGAGGATAGAATAGAACATTTGAAAAATATTTTCCCCAACGTTATTATTGCTAATTGACCTCAGATAAACTGCACGCGTCGTAAATCATGTTTGTTCCCAATTTCCGTTGAATCCTACAACGCAGATAGTAGTTGCAATACCTGGTACGATTTTCAGCGGCTAAATATAGCAGTCATCCACACACGTGTCGTTAACTTCTTGTACCGCGAAGGCGCCTAAGGTCTTGGTTTTGTTTTAACCAGTTCTCGATTTTATTAAAACCTTACAAGAAGCGGCGCCTGACCGTAATTACACTAATTTTTGCGGAATAAATCCAGCGGTGTTGATCCAAACCCTAATGGAAAATCTGTTTTTTCTCTTCGTAAACACAAACACAGTCGATTAGAGGAAGTTTTTGTTGTTTACTTAGAATTTTCTGTGTTTTTGCGGTTTTTATTCCAAGTGCATACTTTTGGCAGATTGCCTTTTGTCTGTGACTATTTTTACCGTCTGCAGTAGACAGTAATTATGTAATAAAACATCGAATTGAATTGCGTCATTTAACTAGGAAATGAGGTAGTGAAGGACGGCTTCTCCTATCTTTTGATTGACATCCGGGTTGTGTCTTTGTTAACCCTCGCAATTGATCGATGAGAGGTGCTAAAAATACACCATTGTTGATTATGCGAAAAATCCCGAAATAAAATGCAGCCGGCCTACAACAATTTCATGGTCATTGACGAAATCGTGTCAAGTCTTCAACAAAAACTGTTAAATCGCCGATAAAACATTGTTGCAAAGATCATCATGTCACGGCGTTAATTGGGTCTTCTCGAACAATTGAGGCCAAGACCATTATGTTAATGCTTTGTTTGTACAACAACAGAGAAGAACAGTCAGTTGTAGATCAGAATTTAATTAATCTGCTTTTTCTTGAGGTAGCATTTTTGTCAAGTTTAATGTCAAGAACGTACGTTTGTATTTTGGCTTTCGTTTCATATTTTATGATAATGGACAGGTTAATTTTAATGCTCGCCAGAATAGATTTTCGTCGATACGTTCAAGGTAATGCGTAACCAGAAGTATCGATTGGACTCTTTTCCTTAACAATAATTGTTACGGTCACATACCATGTGAAAAAATATTAGGTGCGCCATGAGTTTGTGTATTTTGGCCGCTACGGAAATTGTTATTCTATTATTTTTTTAAATTTTTCTTTCGTCCGGTCTGCAAAAATAAAAAAGTTATTCGTAATCGGCGACCAATAGGTGGACAACGTAAGAAAATTGGCACAGATTAGTTTTTCACTCTGGGTTCCGACAGCACGTGCAGAATGTGCTTAGAGGACGATGAGACCCCTGGCACATTCTGTAGGCCTGCCCTTTCTGGCATCAGGAAAGAGTAATGGACTTCCAAATTTTGGAGATGCGCCTATAAAGGACTGTGTTAGGACTTACATTATGGGGGGGTAACACACAATGGACCAGAA